TGATGGGGTCGGGGTCCTCTGCTCCCAACACCCCCCAACTCCTCCCTAATCATTCACCTGCCTGCTCTCCAACCCTCAGTTTCCAAGGCTGAACTAGGTGGTCTCCCTGTCCCAACGATGTTGCTTTTCCAGGACACCAAGCGCCCATAACCCTCCAGTGATTTCTTCCAGAAGGGATACGGGTAAAACATGTGTTGTGAGGGGTAGACGTCCCATGAGGAACAACTGCCAACTCCCCCACACTCTGGGAGATGAGGCACTTTCCTCCCCACTTTTCCAGGGCATTTTTAGTCCAGCACCTCAGCTAAAGGTGCAACACTACTGTTATCAACAGCCAAGGGCCTGACTCCACATCTCACCACCATCCTATCTTCGGGAAACACAACCTTCCATCCCAAAGCTTGGGGTGGGGTGTGAGCTGTGCAGTGGGGACTGACCCCAGGGGCTTCTGCCCCTCACAACATGGACACTCACCCATCAGGTAGCTCTTGACCTTCAGGTATCCAACAGCCAGCCGTAGGATGGAGAGCTTATCCAGCCTGGAGCGCACATCCTCAGGGAAGGGCAGCAGTCCCGTCAGCTTGTTCAGCTCCTGGTTGAGCCGGTCGCGGTGTCGCTTGGAGGGGTTGGACTTCACACCCTCAGCAGGTGGTGGTTTGGGGCTGCGAGAGGCAAAGCAGAGTTTAATCACACTGGGACTGCCCACAGGCCAGGCTGGACGGGGCTCGGAGCAACCTGGGCTGGTGGAAGGTGTCTCTGCCCAGGGCAGGGGGTGGAATGGGATGAGCTTTAAGGTCCCTTCCCACTCAAACCATTCTGGGATTCTACGACTTGAACAATTAAAAAAAAAAAAAAAAAGTAAATGCAGAAAAATTTGTTTTCTTCTACTGTTCTGATTTCTGATCCTTTCAGAATTTCTGAAATTTCTAAACTAAAACAGGGCATTTCTAAACTAAAACAGCATCTGACGCCAGACAGGCCCTGGGACCAACCCTCAGCCTGCAGAAGGAACAGTGTCCATGAGAGCAGCTCCTCTCTGCCTCAAGCCAACATTAATGTGCCACCTCTATCAACTGCAGTTACTTCACACTCTCCAGCTGAAATCCCCACACAGCAGCAAGAGCTCAGTTAACAACTTTAATGAGTCTTGGATGTCACCTCGTCTGCTTCATTTTTTAATGCCAATCTGAATTTCATAGTTTGAAGAAAAACCCTTCAGACCACCCTCCCCTCATATCTGGCTCAGCTACATCCCTTAACATGCACCTCATTTTGTTTGATGGAATTTGTCTAACCACAAACTCCCCCTCCCCAGGCACCCTCACTTCATAAAGGAGCTTTGGATAACAGGATCTGCCAGTATTTAGCTGCAATTTAAGCTCTCTCCTCTACCACCACTCTCCAATCTCATCTGGCAGGGCTGCTCGCAAGTGTGACACGAGGGGAAATGAGCATTAAATGAACTGCAGTGAGGTGCCTGTTGAATTTTCAGCTCAGAGAGCAACCAAGGGGTCTTCTAAGGATGAATGGAAAAATGTAGCATTTCCCCAGGAAAGCTCAATCCTGCTGGTTTGTAACAGCAGCACCAGGAGGGCCAGATCCTCACTCAGGACAGCTGGTACAACTCAGCACCAAGCTCGTCCATACAAGCTGGGCAAAACGCACTGGCTTTTATGGACACCAGGGCTTTTATGGATCCAGTGGATTAAACACTTTTGAAATCATAGCCATGCATAGGAAGGAAAAAAAATAAAACAGTTTTCCTTTGACTCTAATTAGAAAAAGAAAGAGGTGAAGTAAATTAGTCTGAGTTCCCTCAGATACTCTTCAAAGTCCTCAGCTCACTCACTCTCCAAATCCAGCCCCCAAACAGCCAGAAAGAAGGGAAAACGAGACCGGAGATGAGCACAGGAGTGGGTACAAAACAGAAGTGTAATGGGATCTCTTGGACAGTCTGGCCAGGCACTGAAAATCCCCTGGCTGAGGCACACAGAGCCAGTGGGGAGTCACCCCAAGGCTGAGGGAGGACACTCTAACATCTCTGTGCCTGCCCGTCCCCAGCCGCAGCACACAGCATGCACCTTGGAGAGGGGGGTGACAACGAGGAAAACGGCTCATGCAAACAGTAAAGACTGGTCTAGATGTTTGAAATCCGTCTCAGTTCGCTTCCCTTTGGACCATCTCCATCCCCAGTGCCCCCTCTTTGCAGGGCAGAGCTCCAGCCCCTGCAGGGTGTCCCAGGCAGCACCAGTGCCCCAGAACAGCACACCGAGCCCTGGCATTCAACAAAGCAGCTCAACACCTGCCCACCAGGCAAGGAGAAGGTGTTTCAGAGAGGCCTGAGCCCCTGTTCTGTTTGCTGGAGCCTTGTGAAATGGTTACAATGCAAGCTGTGCCATGGGGCTCGTGGTGAGCCAGTGACCCCCGAGCAGAAGGGCCGCACTGGAGCTGGGTAGAAAGCTCTACTCCCAGCGGGCCAAAAACTGTGCTGCTGCTGTGGTTTGGTTCTCCCCACCTGCCCTTGGAAAGGGAACCCAGCAAGAAGTTTATCCCTTTTGCGAGCTGGCAAGTACCAAGGGATATTATTCCCAGCAGTGGAGTTTGCCTGAGCTGATGTACTGTCTCTTAGTCTTTTTTTTTTTTTTTTTTTTTTTTAAAGTAAAAAGCCCTGGACAAACTGCAAAGGGGCCAGAGAAGTCCCTCACACCCTCCCCATCCAGTCCGGCTGGCTGCACATCCCACTGTCCCCAGCCCTGCTCCACCCGGCCTCTCCCAGCAGGATCCCGCTCCATGACCTGACTGGGCACAGAGAAAAATAATCTCTTCCTATTCCCAAGGCTGACCCTGCAGAACCAGTGAACAAGGGCCCTTCTTGCTCCAAAGAGACACCTTCTCCCACACCCTGAGCCACACAAGTGCAGCCCAAACCTTCAGTCCAGTATGTCAGAGGGCTGGAATCCCCACTCCAAGGTGAACAGGAGACACGTTTTAGGCAGAACCACCACTTTTCATGTTTCCACAGGAAATTCTCCCAAATACATAGCCAAGAGAGGCTCTGAGTTAACTTCTCTCAACAGGTTTATAATGTCGATATTCCCACCTTCGTCCCAAGCTTGGACTCAGCTCATCCATCCCCCCCACGGCCTCCCAAAATTATATATCCCCCTTGATTTCCTATACACTTGCAAGCCTGAGGTTAAACAGACTGACGGGACTCGGGAGCTGGTGTGGGGGGAAGGCATGAGGGAGCCAGCAAACACCGGGGACACACCGGGGGGGATGTTATGCAACAGCTATAGAGCAGCGTGGTAATTAATTATTAAGGAATTGAGATGTTTTGGTAATTAGTAATCGTTGTACGTTTGATTTAGGCAGGCACCGAAACGCAGCCCAGCCCGCAAATCACAGCTCGGCAGCCCAAACTCTCCAGCGAGGCTCCTCACTGGGATTCAGGACGAGCATCCTTGGGATTTCTGTTTTCCCACCAGCGTGCCAGAGCCGACACAGCGTTAGCTCCAATTAACCCCAATTAAAACCGAGTAACCCAAGCATGCCGCTCCCCCTCGCTCCCCCAGTGCTCCCACCAGGGCAGCTCCAGGCAGCTCCCCGGATCCAGCGGGGCTCCCCCTGCCCCGTTTTCAGCCGCCCCGCCCGGTCCCACGCACCCGCCCCGGGGGGGAACCCCCTCCCTGCACCCACCTCTTGGGCACCGGCTTCTTCCTCTTCCTCCCGGCGTACATCCCGCGGGCGGCGGCAGCTGCGGCAGCGGCGGCAGCGGGAACGGGAGTGGGACCGCGCCCGGGGCGGGGCTGGGGGGACACGGGGGGGACACGGGATGGACACGCCCCGGACACCTCCGGGCACGCCCCCTCTGCATCGGCCCCGCCCCGCCAGCTCCGCTCCTGGGGACAAGGGACACCGAGTCCCGGGAAACACCGTGTCCGTGGGACACCAAATCCTGGGAACACACCCCCCAGGTGACACCGAGTCCTAGGAAACACCATATCCATGGGACATCGCCCCTCCCAGGGGACACTGACCCCTGGGAAACATTGTGCCCGTGGGCCACCAAATCCTGGGAAACACCATGTCCACGGGACACCCTCCGTAGGGACACCGAGTCCTGGGAAACACCATGTCCGTGGGCCACCATTCCAGAGCCTGACCTCTCTGGTCCCTTCCAGGAAAAGCCCCTTCCCTCTCACTTTGCAATTTCCTGCGTTAACACTGTCCAAAGCTTTCGCTCTTTCCCCACACACCACGTCCAGCTGCTGTGGTGAAAACAGGGATGGCAGGGACAGGCAACCAGGGACACAAAGGCCAGGCACAGAGACGTCACAACCAGCTGTGGTTTGCTTGTTACACAAATCCTCTCGTTACAAAATCAAGCCTGTTCCCCTCCCTTGCCATTTCCAGGGACAAGACGCCGCTCCTACGTGGAGCATGTGTTGTGTGGATGCGTGGGAGCGCAATTCCCACTACATCACTCCTACAGCTCCCCACACTGAACAGGACCTACTGTTTTCCTGCTCCATCCTCTAAGACCCCTTGGACATCCTCTCCTGGATGAGTATCCATCACCAAATGCAGCCTCCTCGCCATTTCATGAATGAGGGTGGGCAGGCCCTGGCACAGGTTGCCCAGAGAAGCTGTGGCTGCCCCTGGATCCCTGGAATTGTCCAAGGGTTGGATGGGGCTTGGAGCAATGTGGGATAGCTGCAGACAGAGGTGTTAAGGAAACCCAGATGCAGTCACATCCCGTGTGGGTTGTTTGGTTGGGTTTTTGAAGCCGTTTGCAAATTCCAACGATACATCCTTGAAATGAAACTCGATCGTTTCTTGCCAGGGGCAAAGCAGAGGCCGCTAATGGGATCAAAAATGTGCCAGGTCAGCAGGGATGGTGTCAGTTTGATGGCAAGTGAGTAAAACGTTTGGTTGTGACCTCCCTAGACCCAGGAATTTGGCTGTGATCTTAAATAAGGCAGGGAAGAAAGGAAGCTGTGTGAGGAAGGTGGCCCAGGCTGCTCTCAGGTGTCCCAGTGACAGGCGAGGCTGTGGGAAGGCAGTTTCCACAGCCTGTGGGACACCCCAGATTTGGGAATCACCAAATAACTTAGATTGGGAAGGGCCTCTAAGACTGTCGAGTCCAACCGTTCCCACAGCACTGCCAATGTCCACTAACCCACGTCCCCAAGTGCCACATCCACATGAAGACACATGTGGTCCCATGTTTGGCCAAAGCCCCCCAGCCCCTCTTTGCCACCAGTGCTCTCCTCCTGGACTTCTCCTCCCCAGCTCCTCCTAACCCCACAGCCTTTCCAAGGCTGCTCTACATTGCTCTCCTACATCCACTGCCAGCTTTCCTCTGGGAAAATCCACCTGATTTACCTCTTCCTATCTGCTGGAAATAGATGCATTAAGACCTCTCCACTTTAAGCAGAGAGTTTTCCTAAGGCATCTCCTGCCAGGCAGAGCCAGGCTCGGGCTGCTGCACATGTTCCAAGCCTAAATCCCAGGATTTAGACACACCTCACAGGGTGCCTCCGGCACTATGGGAGGCAGGAGAAAGGGGGCTGTGAATTTCCTATCTGAGCTCCAGGCCCCCAAAAGCAGGTGCCTGTACTGAACAAGAGGCCAAATCATGCAGTTGTGCCTGTTTTCTCCCTTGGATCCCTCATCCCCTGCTGCCCATGGACTCACAGGGTTCCTGTCCCACCTTCCATCTGGAGCAGGTCAGGAGGCAGCAGAGAGGCTCAGCCGGGAGGTGCCGGGAAGCACAGGATGCTGTGGGGGAACAACGCAGGATGTCCCTACCTGCTCTCACGGATGCAGGCAGCCTGTGTGTTCCCTGTCCCGCTCCCTGACATACCTGTCCCGTTCCCAGTCCTGCTCTCTGTCCCGCTCCCGTTCCCTGTCCCGTTCCCACTCCATTCCCAGTCCCATTCCCAGTCCCGTTCCCACTCCATTCCCACTCCCGTTCCCACTCCATTCCCACTCCCGTTCCCCCGTCCCCCGTTCCCGCCACAGCCTTCGAGGCGCGGGGCGTGGCCTACGCCGACGGAAGAGGGCGTGGTCTCAGGCGAATGGGCGCGGCCTGCCGGGGGGGCGGGGCGCGTCCTGGGTCTCCGCCCCGCCCCCTTTCCCTCGTCGCGCAGCGCTGCGTCATCGCCGCGCGCCGCCCCGCCATGTCCTTGTGGGTGTCCCGGCTCGGCCGGGCCGCGGCCGCCCGGGGTCCCTGGGGGAGCCCCGCATTGCCGGCGGTGAGCGGGGGGGGCTCGGGCAGGGTCGATAGGGGAGCCCCGCATTGCCGGCGGTGAGCGGGGGGCCCGGCCCGGGCCCCCCGCTCACCGCCGGCAGTGCGGGGCTCCCCCAGGGGCCCGGGCAGGGCGTTGGGGGGGATGCCCGGCTGGACTGCCTCTTGGGATGGGACATTCTCCTGGGTGACTGGGAAGAGGGTTTAGTGCTGTTGCGGCCTGGCGGTAATCAAAACAGTAAGCAAAAAGCCTAATAATGCCGGGTCTCCCCTGGGGCACGCTCTGTTGAGTGTGACCTTCGGCCGCTCTGGGCAGTTTTGGGGTCCTCGTGTCGGGTTCTGGCAGAGCAGCCCCTCCTAAAAACGCGCTGAGAATTGGTCCGTGCTTTCTGTCTTCCCCGCCTTTGATTTCGTAACCACCTTCCCAGCCTGAAGAATGAATGGCTGAGCTGAAATGTCAGTGCCGCAGTCACTGCACAGAAATTCCTCGTGGTAGGTCTGAAAAGGCTGCACTTCCAGTTTAAAAAGCCCCCCAGACGTGCTGATTTCCCTTGTGTTTTCTTCCAGGCAAGAATTCACAGCAGCCCTGAGCGGAACTTGCAGTATGGGTGGCTGGCTTACATGCTGGGAGAGAGAACCACCAAGAGGTTCACGGAACACAGCAAAGTCTTCACAGTGGAGGGGAACTTGGCCTCTGGGAAGGGCAAGCTGGCAGAGCAGATAGCACAGAAACTGGGTATGTCTTATTGGGGCTGTTCCTCTGGCAGCTGGTGGAGTTTAACGGCGCAGCTCTGTGAGGAAAGCTCACCAAAGCTGCAGCTCTCGCTGAACTTAATTAACTGGGGAACGGGGAGGGTTTATGGTAATGCCTGGGGTGAGGATGCCTGTGTGGGTGGGGTTTGCTGTGAGTGAAATCCCAGTCCTGATGGGGTCAGTGGGCTCCTGGAGAGGCTGGTTTTTCCCTGTGGATGTGCAGGGGGGGGTCAGGACGGTGGGTTTGGTGGCACTGAGGTTGTGCTCAGCTCTCACCGGGGCGGGTGAAAGGGGGCAGTGCTTAAAGGTGGGGTTTGTTGCTCTCTGATGTGATAGACCAGAGGCCTGGGGGTCGTTTCAGAGCTGTTTAAAGAACAACTGTGTGTTAAAAGGCTTTTGCTGTAAACGAACACAACTTGTTCCTTGGCTGGGTGCTCAGTTGGTAGGTTGTTTTCCTCAGGAATGAAACACTTCCCGGAGGCCGACATCCACTACCTGAACAGGATCTCCGGGGATGGGACGCTGCTCCCCGAGAAGTTCAATGGCTTCTGCAACATGGAGAGGTTCTACACAGACCCCAAGTGCCCTGATGGACACTCCTACCGGCTGCAGGCCTGGATCTTCGGGAATCGTGTCCTGCAGTACGCTGATGCCCTGGAGCACCTGCTCAGCACAGGTGGGGCTCACAGGGCACAGACCTCAGGCCTAAACTAACTTCTGACTCGAGTCCTGACTAACCTGCTCGTTGGGGTGTCCTGTGCAGGGCCAGGAGTGGGACTTGGTGATCCTTGTGGGTCCCTTCCAGCCCGGGAGATTCAAAGTGCTTTGCTACTCTCTGCATTTTAAAATGAAAGGCTCCTGTTTTGTTCAGCTTCACATATTCCCCCTCTTAGTATAGGAACAGCACACTTAGAAAACTGCCTTGCACACACCTGTTTCTTATTTCACTCACCAGTTACCAATTTAATTATTTTCAGTCTGGCAATCCCTGGTGGTTTATTTTCAAAAGGGCATTTTAAGGATGCCATGATAGCTGTGAGTTGCACAGGCTCCCAACTTACTTCCTGGTGGTGACTGTTTTCAGTCTTTTTGGTTTCATTAAATACAGTTCTGTGGTGGTTTTGTTATAATTTGAGAGTCTCCTGGTGAGAAAAGGGTTTTTTATCCCAATGCTGTTGCTTAGAATCAGAGAATCACAGAGTGGTTTGGGTTGGAAGGGGCCTTAAAGCTGGTTTTGTTCCAACCTGGAGCCTGTTTTCCCTTGCAGGTCAAGGTGTGGTGTTGGAGCGCTCTCCCTACAGTGACTTCGTGTTCCTGGATGCCATGTTCAAGGAGGGATATATCCACAAGAGATGTGAGTTCCTGGCATGCAAAAGGAGGTTATTTTACCGTAATCTGTCAGAAGTGTGGCAGTTTACTTTTTAAAATGGAAGAAAGAAATGCCTGCTTGGAATTTGGGATCCCTTTAGATAACAAGTTGTTCGCGTGTGGCTGCTCTGTGCATCGAGGACTGACCTCAAGCCATGAGATTCCCAGCTTTTCTCCAAGGCTTTGGGGAGTATACTGGGACTGGACCAGGTTTATATTGGGTTTCAAACATGGATGATGGACCAGGGTGCAGCCCTGGGGGACTTGCAGGTGATGCAAAACTGGGAGGGGAGTGGTTAATGCACCGTGGTTTTGGTGCTATTTAGAGGAACATGGAGAGGATGGAGAAGTGGTTGGAAGGTCTAGAATAGGGAATGCAAAGTCCTTCCCCTGGGAAGGATTATCTGCAGGC